TTCTGGTTTCATGGGAAACTACTGACATCAAGAGAAATCCTATGCAAACTCGCACTAACTATAAATCAACAAAACAGCAACTTCCACCCAATACACTGTTTCCAGGAAAATAAAGTGTCAGCTAAGGAATGGCTGACTCCAAGTGGCAGTCGCCTGCTAGGAATAGTACTCACAGAATAGCATGAAGAGATTTAGAATCTCAGTGGGATACAACACACTGCCTAACAAATTAAATATTTGCATATTAATCTCCCATTATAACAGGGATGGGAGTGCCAAGTCTTAGCAGCAGAACAGCCATCAGCACTTGGCACACTTGAATACTATTGTCTGGCCTCCTTTGCCATCACCTTTTTCATGTGATTTTTTTAAATGATTCCCATGAATTGAGCCACATTTGCCAAGATTCCAGCTGCAAAGCCATATTGTAGCTCCTGCAAAAGCACAACTAAAGTAGGAGTAATGGTATTCATAAAACTAACTTGGGTTTTATAGGCTCAAAGGGAGCTTCCTCCAGGAGGTCATATATGTAGTTGTTGTAGATCTCAATATAGGAGACAAAGACACTGTAGACATTATCTTCATCAACGTCTTCCACTTTGCAGTGATCCTGCACATTGATCATATCTGCGAATTCCGGATCGATTTGTCGCCTGTTGGACACACACAAGAAGTGATTGTAATGAAGCATCCGCAGCCAGTGACAAGGCAGTGAAAAAGCACATCTACTGACAGATTACATGCTGTGAGTTGGGAAATGCTCACACCAGCAACTAATGACAGCACACCCAGTGACGCCCCATTAAAAAAAGCAGTGTGAAAATTAAGTAGATAAACTCCCATCTGACACTGCTGGACTTGGTGTCAACAAGAAACGCCTTGCAAAATCCCAGTCAACACTCCTATCCTCCTTTCAGCAAATCACTCCTTTGCAGAATATCCCCAAGTTTAACTTCACAGCATTCCTGCCTGGTAAATTCACTTACACTCGGGTTAGACTTCTGTCACCTGATTCCAAGTCTTTTAATCAAAACATTTATATGACTCGTCAAGCCCCATGCAATACCCTAACTTCCCATTAACATTTGTCTTTATTTTTTTTGAAGGAAAGGATAATGAGACCAAGATAAGCTAAAACCACAACAACAGAATAACATTTATAGGAATTCAATAGATTCTGCATGTTACAATAGCAACTTACTTGCCCAGTGGAGTTTTTGGAATAGGCATGGCATCTCTTTTCTGGCGCTCTAATAGGGCATCTACTTCACACTGAACGTCCACACCATTCTTGTCATCAAGCTTAAACACCTGAGCAGCGAGTATGTTCAGACAATACAGCAACAAGCATTAGAGAACATAAGTGTTGGGCAGCAAACCAAATTATTTGATCAAGCTGTCTGGCACACACCATGTCTAACACACCTCATGCCCCTCATTGTCTGCTAGCTAACGTGAAGTAGATCCGACAGAAACTAGGTGTTTCTGAGATAACAACCCATAGACGCTCCCAAGCTGCACACAAGCAAGGAAAAGACTTGCAGTGTTATTTCCAATATATTTAGATAACAAAATCCAGATATATTTGACCACAAGCCTCACATCTATATCATTTTCGATAAGGTTTCCTGTGGCTTTGTATCCTGTGGCTAGATCTCATTCCCTAACCCAGAAAGCTTCCTCTTTTCATTATTAATTGAAGAATGAGCAACAATTATAAGGCCAGCCACACCGTACACCTTCATGGAATGTCCATCCTAGTTGCCTCCTCAGCCCAGCTCCTCAAATCTGAAGGGTGTGGGTTCTTTTTGGTTGGTTTTAAAGTGCTCCAGCCACAGGAGTGGACAGGAGCACTTGGAACAGAAGGCTTTAATAGTGGGTTTAAGCTGTTACAGGCAACAGAATGGAGAATGCAGCACAAAACCACTCACAAATCGCTTGGCCTGAAAGGGTCCTATGCTGTTGAAGATCATATCCAAACACCGAGGGAGAAGTCCTCCATCACCAGGAGATCCTGTCATGGTGTGTGTTTTCCCACTGCCTGTCACACCATATGTAAAAAGGAGACCTAGAAGGGACAGTAAAGATAGTTAATCCTGCTTGCTGTGTCAAGAAACAGCTCAGTTATAACCAAACCCCCCATCTTTCCTGGGTCAAATGTATTTGGGAAAATCACTATCTCCTTTTAAACAGTTCACAGTAAAGTAACACACAAAGATAAATGGGTTTAGATGCAGTAAAAGGCAAGAAGAGCTTCCGAGGATGCTGAACCACAACTAGTCCATGGCAAACAAGATACACATGTTTTTGCCCAGGCAACCTAAGGAACCTGGAGACACATGAAGTCACAGTAACACAAACTGCACAGCAGACAGGCAAGGGGTAGAGAACAAGTTCTTGCTTACCATTTCTCCCACGAATGAGATCTTCCACTAGAGGTTTAGCCACCACGTCAAAGAGCTGCTTCTGAGCAACGAGGGTGCCAAACACCTCTTTAAAGGAATATTGTGTCTAGAAATAGAAGATATATCATTTTTAGCCTTCATTTTTCCTGTCCAGAGTTACATTGCTCTGGCTCCCCATACCACACATATGGCCAAAAGCCTCCTTTCCTAGGAAACATCCGTCCAGGATAAATCAAGGATTAATTCATTTGTGTCTAGTTCAGTTTAGAGCTGGTTTCTTTCAATTAGTCCTTCAAGGAATCTAAACATTTCATGGAACCCCAAGCCTCGTTTGTGTTGGAAGGGACCTTAAAGCCCATCCAACTCCAACCCCTGCCATGGGCAGGGACCCCTTCCACTGGAGCAGCTTGCTCCAAGCCCTGTGTCCAACCTGGCCTTGAGCACTGCCAGGGATGGGGCAGCCACAGCTTCTCTGGGCACCCTGTGCCAGTGCCTCAGCACCCTCACAGGGAAGAGCTTCTTCCCACTTCACCTGTGTTCCTTCCTCTACCCCGCAGAAGAAGCCTTTTTGTCTACAGAGACCATATTGGATAGTTAAGGCAATGGGTGGCTTTGCTCTAGGTGGTTTTCTGGGTTTGAAAATGCGCTTCTCTAACAGCAAAAGCTGCTGATTTGCACACTAGAGATGCCCCAAGCCAGCACAAAGCAGGGTGAAGGACCTCAAGCCTCAGTTCCAGGCTGGAAAACATCCCCTCCCGCCCAGCCCCAAGGCGAGGTCCCCCCCTCCAAGCTCTTCACCGACGCCAGCCGTTACCTCCCGGTACTCCCCGTTGCGAAATATCCGGTATCCCTCGGGCGGGTGGATCTGCACCGTGGTCTCATCGATCACCTCGATGCAGCACTCCTGGTCCGGGCGGCTCAGCGGCCTCACCCTGCAGTACACCTGCGCAGGGAGGGAAGAGGGGCACAGGGCCCGTTGGGAGCGCAGCTCCGGAGGGACCCCGCAACCCTCGGAGCCCCGCACTCACCCCCACGGGATCCCTCACGCAGGGGTTCGATGGCTTCTTCGGCACCGGCCTCCACGGCGTCCTCATTCTACTGAGGGAAGGAGAGGCGTGAGCGGCCACCACGGGCCGGGCCGGGCAGCACCGGGCCCAGCCGGGCAGCACCGGTCCCAGCCGGGCAGCACCGGGCCCGACCCCCGCCGCCGGGCAGGGGGGGAGAGGGGAAGGAGGCCGGGATCACACTCACGCTGCCTTCATGTCGCGATAGAAGGCGACGGCTGCTGCGCTCCCTGCCCAGCTCTGCTCTGCCGCAACCGCCACCGGCGCGCTCGCTGCGATTTAAATCTAACCAATCAGCGCTCACGTCGCCCAGAAGCGCCGCTGCGTAAGGGGCGACGCCGGCGCCCTCCCCGCCCCGCCTCAAGCGTTGCTATGACGACGCCATAGGGTGCGTCTCGGAGCGCGGCTGCCCCCTGCTGGCCGGGAGGAGTCGCGGCCCGGAGGAGCCGGTGAGGGCCGAGCCCTGCGCCAGCGCCCCCGGAGCGCTGAGGCCAAGCGGGGCCCGGGCGCGGAGGAAACCCCGAGGGCTCGCTGCGGCCTGTGGTGAGCGCGGGGCTACCGGTGAGCCCGCCTGGGTGGGCCCGGAGCTCGGCTCTGCCGCAGGCGAACGGCTGAAGCCGCGGTGCCCAGGCCGTGGTGGCCCGCAGGGACCGGGAAGCGGCTCTTCCCCCCCATTCCCACCGGGATCCCCTCCCCAGCCAGCTCCACTGTGCAGGGACAAGGACAGCACGGGGAAGCAGCGTGGCCCAGCCGGTCACTGCCTGCCCGGAGGTGAACCCGTTCCTTCCCAGCCTGGAGGAAGTGCTCGGCCGCGGAACAAGGCCGATGGGGTGGAGGCGAGCCGTGGGTGAGAAACCGGGACACGCAGCGCCATCGGAGAGCTGACTGCGTGCCCTTCAGAGGGGAGGCTGGGCTGATGGATGAAGCCGCTTGGCTTCAAGCCCTGGGCAGCAGCTCTGAAGGCTTCAGTGCATTGAGCTCAGCCTCCCTTAAACCACAGACAGGTCTGGTTTGGTGCAAATCAATTCAAGTCAGTAAGTTTACCCCCTTAAGGGAAAAGCAAATGAGTAAATCCACAACAATGCCACCACGCTGGCTCTAATTCTTTACTGGGAGCACTAGCAGCAGTGCGTGGGCCAGCCTTCGCTTCCAAACACTGAAACACCTGAGTTTCTGAATGATCTCAGAGCACACATGAAGGATTCAAACAGCCCAAGGGACCCGACCGCCTCAGGAGCAGTCCCACCATCACACCACCCTCACCCTGCAGCCTAACACTGGTGAAATGGGGCTGCAGGGACCTACAGGAAACCCGGAGAGGGGCTTGGGACAAGGGCCTGTAGGGACAGGCCAAGGGGAATGGCTTGAACCTGCCCGAGGGGAGACTGAGCTGAGCTCTTAGGCAGAAGCTCTTCCCTGTGAGGGTGCCCAGGGAAGCTGTGCCCGGTCATTAAGTTCTGTTTGGGATTTGCTCTGGATGGGGTGCAGATACACAATGGAACAGGTGCCAATAAATACATATCCTGTGTTATCGTAACAATCTGACACTGCTTTTATTTCTTTCTGTGAATAGAATTTAGTACATTCAATAGGTTTTTGAAGGCCCATCTCCAACTGCAGAAGGAATCCGGCTGCGTCAAGAGCAAACAGTCACTCATCCAGTATATGCCAGACAAAGGGTCCCTACAAAGCGCTGCAGGATCCAGAGGGAGAATGGTAATGGAAAATACAGTGTAATGTATTCTCATGTCATTTTCCTACACATAATTTCACCTGAGGAGGAGGAGAGAACTTCCCAAATCCACAAATAAAACAACCAAGAAACACTGTGTAAGGATCGATGTAAATTGGACAGCCTCTTTGATAACGCCTTGCACGCAGAGCCAGATTCCATCCCGGTCACATCAAGTAAAGAAGCTTTGCAATCATTAGCAATTATCTCTGGAGTGATTAATTTCCACAGGCAGCATTTATATGGAGCTATACAAGTCAGGCTGGTGTAGGTCAGTGCGAGAGTTATATTAGTTTTCTCTTTTAATGCAATAAAACTGTTGAATAAACAATTACGTTCCAGTGCTTATAAATATTAATAGAAATCTTGGTCAGCTTTCAAAAGAAAGCTGTTTCTCAAAAAGAGTTCCTTGTCCCATGATAGATGCAATGAGCCGTTGTATTGTCACTCAAAAGTGCATCAGTTATACCTTGAGAGAGGCAATTCTACACCCACCAAATGTCACACCCGTATGATTATCAAGGAGCTCGATCCCATTCCCCAGCAGTCAGCTTTGCATCGCACGTTCCTGTACCTCGTGTGCAGTGTTGGTAAATCCAAGGTGACAGCTTCCATCCCAGCTGAGCTGGCACCTCCGGGCTCTCTCCATGCACTCTGCTTCTCCTTGCTAAATCCAGACACAGCGGCAAGGAGAGCCAGGAGGGACAGGCAGAGTGCAGGGCTGATGCTGGGTGAGCTGAGGTCTAACTCTGGGAATGCCTTAAAATGACAGGGTTTGACCCCCACTGTGCATCAGCCGCTCCAAATCCTGCCTTTCAGCCGACACAGCTCATGGCTCTACACTGCACAGGCTCCTGCTTCTTGCTCAGCTCATGTCTGATGCCACAAATGGGGTTAGGGAAGGAGCCCAGCCATGACCAGGACGGAGGTGTCTGTGCCAGGAGGGAAGGACAGAGCCACCCATGCTCTGCTTGGCGCTGCATCAACCACCAAGCAGCTACAGGCAGGAGCTCAGCTCCCCCATGGACATTCATTTCCCAGGATTTACCTAAGCACCAGAATTGGACCCAAAATAAAGCCATTCTAGAGGAGAATGGAATTCCTATGGTGAGTTCTCCTGGAATAACTCTTTTTGGGTCATGATTAAAAATAGCTGAATTTAAAACAATAACCAAACTCTGGTCTCAATTCCACATTTGTCAGGCACTTGGGTTTAGTGTAAGGCTGTGTAACACAGGTATTTGAGGTTTTAATCTCAATATAATGCCACTTTCAAGGTGAAAACCTTAGTTAAGGAGCCCCAGGGAAAGCCATTGGACATGCCTTCACTAAAGAGGCTTGGCTGTTGGTTTAAACCAATGACATCTGTGTGACCAGATGCATTGCTCACGTTCCCTTGCCTCCCTGATTGCTCCGTAAGGCAGACCTGGGGAATGCCTATTGCTTTGGGAAGTATTAGCACTTATTTCCCTTTGAGAGAAGAAGTTATGAGTATTTTAAATACATCTTGTGGTAAAACAGCAACTTGATTAAGAGCATTTCATCATGTCCCCAGCTTGGAAGCTATATGTACAAAACCAGTGCAATTGTGGTTTGCTCTTGAGAAAATGGTCAATAAACCTTTTCTCAGAGAGTTTAGGTGAAGAAACTCCTCACCCATCCACGTCTTGTTTGGGGTCTGTCCCATGGAGCAGCATAAACGCCATCTAGACCCAAAGCCTAATGCTTGTGTGGCTTTTCTCTCTGCAGAGGCTCTGGCATGAAGCGCAGGGACATGGAGCAGAGCCCGATGACAGCCAGGTTCATGGCCATGCAGATGCCCATGGAGGCGAGGGTCTGCAGGGAGGAGGGAAGCAGCGAGGAGGGCAGGAGCCGGTCGTGCCGCTCAGCCATGTCCATCATGATGGCTTCCATCTGGAAGTGCGTGCCGATGATCCCACAGACGTGGAAAACTTGGTGGCTGTGCCCTGCAGCAAAGCCAGAAGCACTCACTGAGGGCTTCAGTCACTTTGGGCAGCTCACTGCTGCGCTCCTGGAGGCACGAAGGAGCACTGTGCTTGTGCATGGCATGATGGGGGGAACAGGGTTAGGGTTAGGGTTAGGGTTAGGGTCTCCTTGGAGGCTGTCCCTGCAGCGCCCTGACACTGTGAAGCAGTGCTATGCCACAGCTGAAGGGTTTTGCATGAGAAACGAGTGCTTTGTGGTCACAAACCCTTCTAACCCATTTTGGAAGCAGCACGTTTCTGGAGCTGTTCCTGCTTTATCGAGGCAGGACTGCTCTATCTCATATGTAAAACCACATATTGAATCTCCAGCAGGGAATGAATTACAACCTCTGGGCATCACTCGTGCATTAATGTGCTTTCTCCCTGCAAATAATGAGGAAACAATTCCAACCCACCCTTTGGCACTTACCGATATAATCAAAGTGTCCTGGTGCGAGTCGCTCTGGCAGATGGCTGGCGAAGATGAAGCAAGTGAGGAAGGCAAAAGCGGTGTGCTTATAATGGACTGGGATGGCAGCCTCCGTGCAGCTCTCTGCCATGCACAGGTAGAACTGCAGCAGCAGAGGGGCATCCACACAGGGGGACCATGCAAAGGGAGGAGAACAACACGTTAAAGGAGGCAGAGCTGCTCCCTGCGCCCCCATCACCTCTGGCTGCCCATTGCCCAACATCCAGGGCTCAATACAACAGCCATCACCTCTACTTCGTGTAAATCCCAGCCCCACACATCCTTAGTCCTCATTGTAGCAAAATCCCCATCCTGCTCCAGTTGAGGAACTGGAAAACCGGCAGCTTTCTGAGGCAGTAACTTTCCAGCCTGGGCAAAATCTGAGCGCGGCGCTTTGAAGTGGAAGGAATCTGCCTGTCAATAGGTGCAGGAAGAAATAACCCAATCCCTTTCCTGCCGGAGTTTGTTTTCCTTTATAAAAAAGGGGATATTTTCCCAAGTATTTCCAGGCTCAGATGCAGCAGTTGATATTCCCAACCCGTCCTGGTGCTGTGACCACAGGGAGCCGTACCCTGTAGAAGAGAGGGATGCTGTCGAAGAGGTACGGGTAGGCGAAGGCCAGGATGCGGGAAGCCTTGCTGAACACGGGCCGCTCCACCTCCAGAAACCTAGAGGGAAACACAGGAGGTAATTCCCATGGCACAGCCCTGCGGATTAGCCTGGATTCCATTAGTCTGGATTCCACTGCTGGGATTGCAGTGCAGACATTGCACAGTCACCGTCCCATCAACACTGTGAATTCAGGCAGGGCAGCACTGAGGGTGTTAAAGCTGAGACCACCCTCAGCTCATGTGGGGAGCCTTGAGCTGAGGGAGGAAGGATTTAGAAGTCACAGCTTCTGTGGACAACCTGTGCCAGGGCCTGACCACCCCATAGGGCAGAATGATTTCCTAATATCTAATCTAAATCTCTCCTGTGTCAGGTTTTTAACTGAGTTTTCCCTCTTGGTTTTGAATCTGAGCTTTCTGAGCTCAGCAATCAAGGAGAACACACCTGCCTTGGCTTGGAAGGCTTGGTAGGTAATGCTGCGTTCGGGCTGTGTTCATCCCTGTTAGTTAAGCTGTATCACAGCTCATGGCTGAAATGCATGAAATGGGAGAGCATCCTCCTTTTTTACACCTTACCAAGGCTTGGTGATTGCCATTGCAGAGAATGAACAAAGAGAGTTACCGAAATCACAACCTAAATGAGTTAACCAAGTTACTTTTCAATGACCTCACCATTCTAATGGAAGCAGCAGCCTGTTGGCTATAGTCATACCATAGATGAGGAGGAAAGTGCACGTCTGGGCAGGGAATAATGTCCTGCATTTTGTTCTGCAGGAAAGCATGGTGATGAGATGTAGGACATTGCCCAAACAGAGCCCCCATAACCCCAGCGCAGTGCTCTCTTCACAGCAGATGGCTTGAGACGTAGCAGAGCCCATGTGTGCTCTGCTCTCACCATGAAAAGCCCATTCAGGTTTCTCTGCTTGCACAGGGCTCACAGAATGGTTTGGATTGGAAAGGACCTTAAGATCAACAAATCAACACCTTCCTTCAGATGCCCCTCGGTGAGTCCCTGCCAAATCCCAACGCTGCATCCTCCCATCATTCACATTGACCTTCATGGGGCAGCTGGAGAGGCTGAGGATGCTCTGCTGCTGCGCTTGGCCGTGGCACAGGAGCTCAGCGGGTTCAGGTAAGCCAGCATTGATGGTGTGAGCACAAATCACTCTGACCCTGCCCTGCGTGTGCCCTGCTCCTGCCTCTCCCCTCCAGTGACCCCGGCAGCCCGCAGAGCCCAGCCCAGGGAGCGGCTGCAGAGCAGCCCCAGCAGCATTGCTCTGCCCGGGCAGGTCCCTCCCAGCATCGCCACCCATTGCACAGCGCCTGGAGCAGCTCCCCAGGGGCTGGCTTCAGCTTGAGCCCAGAGCCCCTCTTGTGCTGGGCTGGTGCTGGGGCAGCCTGGAGAAGAGAAGGCTCCTGAAGGGGAGACCTTAGAGCAGCTCCAGTGCCTAAAGGGGCTGCAGGAAACCTGGAGAGGGGCTTGGGACAAGGGATGTAGGGATAGGCCAAGGGGACACCCGTATGCATGGTTCTGTAGCAGGGGGATGCTGAGCAATATTTGTTCTTTTAAACAATCCAAATTAACCTGGGACTGATCTCAAGTTGCTGATTATTTCCTGTGTGTTATGTTCCAGTGGTAAGTAGCATGCTCAATGAGCTTCATTTGCTAAGCCCATCTAACGAGACAACAGAGATGCCCGAGACAAAGACAAGAGGGGGAAAAGAGACAAAAAGAAGGAAAGAAATGACGAATATAAGGCAAAAATACCAAGCTCTGGCTGGCCTCATGCACTGAGGGGTCCAAGAGAAATCCTTCAGTTTGCAGTACTGCTCAGTAACAGCAGGGATAGGGCCAAATCTTCCACACCAGACCAAAAGGTGAGAGAATGCCCTTGCACTGAGCAGACAGTAAATGAGCCAGATGTGCAGGACTATGGCGAGCTCAGCACTCTCCCTCTCAGAGGGATGCGTCGCTGCATCCCACCCTGCAGTGTGATTCCCTCCTGCTGCCTTCCCCAGGGCGTGGGAGCATCTTTATCCCTGCTGAGACATCCAAACAGCCCTGTGCTGGAGGGGGGGGGAGCAGGAGGAAAGACCCCCAGGGTTCTGTGATGCTGTGATGAGTGACCACAGGCATGGTACCAGAGGCACCCCAAACCACAGGATGGGAGGTGGGAGCGATGCCCAGTGCTTCACAGCGCTCCTGGGAGCAGGGACTGTGCCTCCTGTGCAGCAAACTGCCTGTTGGTGCAGGGACACACGCGAGGGCTCCCCTAACACAGCCTTCCCCATGAAGGAGATGGGCCCCAGGCAGGCCAGCACTGCAGGCGCTTGAGGTATTCCTAACAAGGAGCCCAATGGCATCCAGGAACAGCCATGGAGCTGCTCGTGCTATGGGAGTGATGCAACCGGCTGTGAGAAGGCTGCGGCTGCCCTGCAAACCTGCTGCACGCATGGATAGACACAGACATGTATAAACACACCTGCACACACACATACAGACACACAGACATGTATAAACACACCTGCACACACATACAGACACACAGACATGCATATACACACCTGCACACACACATATAGAGACACAGACATGTATAAACACACCTGCACACACACACAGAGACACACATGTATAAACATACCTACACACACATACAGACACACAGACATGCATAAACACACACATACAGACACAGACGTGTATAAACACACACATACAGACACACAGACATGTATAAACACACCTGCACACACACATAGACACACAGACATGCATAAACACACACATACAGACACACAGACATGCATAAACACACCTGCACACACACATAGACACAGATGTGTATAAACACACCTGCACACACACATAGACACAGACATGCATAAACACACACATACAGACACACAGACATGTATAAACACACTTACACACACATACAGACACACAGACATGTATAAACACACCTGCACACACATACAGACACACAGATGTATATATACACACATACAGCCACACAGATGTATATACACACACATACAGACACACAGACATGTATAAACACACCTGCACACACATACACACACAGACATGTATAAACACACCTGCACACACACATACAGACACACAGATGTGTATATACACACACATACAGACACACAGATGTGCATATACACACACATACAGCCACACAGCCACTTGTTCTCCTGCCAGGCATCACCATAGGAAATGACCTTCAAAACCTCCACAGATTAAAGCTACTTCCTTCCTGTTGCATTTGTGAGCATCGGTCTCTCTTAGTGCCAACAGGCAGCCCGTTTCCAACCCAGGAGTCCCCTTTTCCCCCTGTCCTGAACTCACTGAAGCCCTTCAGTAACAGTACCCATTGGGGATGCTGCAGCTCACCTGGAGTAGCAGGACAGGCTGGTGCTGACCACAGTGTTGAACACGGCGATGGGCACGTAGCAGTGATGGAAGGTGCTGTCGACCCATCCCGCCGGGAAGATGTACGCTGAGTACGCCAGGGCGGATCCTGGGAACAGGGGAGGAATGCGGTGAGATCCGGTCCCACCAGCACTGCTTGGGACCTTGGAGCTTGGGTTTGGCAACAGGACAGGGAGGGATGAATGAAGGTGGCCCAGGGGAGCATCAAGAGATGCTCCCACAACCAGCTCCTGCAGGTGCTTTTCCATGGGCCATGCAAAGACCCTGGTGGCTGCTGCTGCTTCCCCTGGGCTTGTCCCCAGAGGGGTGCCATTGACTTCCCCCCCACTTGTCTTTAATCTGCTCTTTTACCCTTATTCACTTTACCGCAAGGACTGCAGTGTCCCACAGCCAGGCCTCCATCCCAGGACTGCCCAGTACAAAACCCAGCCCCCGGTTACTGTTTGTAGTGGTATCATAGATGAATCCCTGAGTGGTTTGGGGTGGAAAGGAACCTTAAGATCATCCAGTTCCATCCCCCTGCCATGGACAGAGACACCATCCACTGGACCACGTCACCCAAGGCTCTGTCCAAGCATCAGGATTCAGGGAGGAGGAAGAGGAGAAACGGACACTGCACACAGTCAGCTTCCATCTCTGCTTGTCCATGGGTAGGAGCGTTCAGCCTGATGCTGCAGCTCCTGGGGACCAGCACCCATGGACACCTCTGCCCTCCCACCCACCCTTACCCAGGCTGTACATGCTGAGGGCAGCGTAGTCAAAGAAGTAGCAGATGTGCCGGGTGCGGGTGGACATGGTGCTGAAGGTGTGGGCACAGCTGGAGGCCAAGGGGTAGATGCAGCAGGTCAGGAGGTAGGCGAGGAGGGGCCAGGCATTGGGGTCCTCCCGGCCCCCTGGGCCCTGCAGCCGCCCCACCAGGGTCCACACAAAGTACCTATGGGACAGAGAACAGCATCGCACCCACGGGGGTCCCCATCCCTGCTCCTTGCTCTCCCCACGGAGACCCAACCCCTCCTGCCATGGATGCTGAAGCCCCAGGGGATGGTACCCACCAGGCAGGCACAAAGTGGGTCCAGATGTTGAGGGTCTCATTCGTCATCTGGAAGACGCTGAGGAGGCAATCGGCTGCCGAGCTCCGGGGTGGGCGATACCCAAAGAGGATGCCCTGCTCCTGGTACCCCTGCAGGGCACAGGGGGGGGCAGTTGGACGAGGTTCAAGGGTGCCAAAAGGATGGAGACCTGGGCCCTGCTGCAAGGACAGAGCTGGGTCCTCCATGGAGGGGCTGAGCCCTTCCCAAGGGATATGGACACTGAACACGCTGCTCCCACTTATCCCCCCCCAAAACCCTCCCAAACCTCAGGCTTGGGGAAGGAAAGCTCCTCTCTGACCTTAGGCACTTGGTTGATGCTGAGCAGCCGGGGTAGCTTGATGCTCAGCATCGTGTGGGTTGAGGATCCAGCTCCGAGGGATGCTTTTGGCTCAGCTTCCCTGTGGAGAGCCCTGATGGTGCCTCACATCCCGCCTGAACTCATCTCACACGCCACGGGATGGAGATGGCTGAAGTGATGCTCTCCGGGCTCAGGATGGGTGGCCTGGGGGAGACAAGCATCCATGGGGATGTGGCACTGTGTTCCATTGGGAGATCCCGAACCCACACGTGGCAAATGCTTCCTGCAGGGATCCCATGGCATGGGGAGGGGAGATGGCACCCTGTATCCAAAAGGGGCAGGGGGAGAAAAGGCAGCATGTCCCTATGGGGACCACCCAGAGGGACTGGAACCGCTGTTATCACCCCATCAGCACCCCCATCCTGGAGCACCTCGAGGTCACACAGAAAGCCCTGCACATGGGTTCGGGGGCCGCAGGTCCCCTCTGGGAAGCTCCCCATTGAACACCCCATCACCACAGCGCAGCCCCACATCTCCATCCCTTCCCTGCTGACGGTGGTGCCCCCTGTGCCTCCACCTCGGGGCTGTGAAATAAAGGTTCCATAAGGACCATGTCCTGCCCAGCACCGCATTCCCGGCTCCCTGCAACCCCCCAGCCTCCCGGGCTCTGCTCCTGGGTGCTTCCCTGCTGCCATCCCGCACCTTCAGCCCCGGGATGGGACGGGACGGGACCTGGTTCCCCCTCCAGCACCCGCGGCCCTTGCTGCTGGTCCCAGGGCAGCCCCTTTGCTGCTGGTCCCAACGCAGCCCCTTTGCTGCTGGTCCCAACGCAGCCCCTTTGCTGCTGGTCCCAACGCAGCCCCTTTGCTGCTGGTCCCAACGCAGCCCCTTTGCTGCTGGTCCCAACGCAGCCCCTTTGCTGCTGGTCCCAGCGCAGCCCCTTTGCTGCTGGTCCCAACGCAGCCCCTTTGCTGCCCTTCCCCAGGCCCTGCCGTTACCCTGCGTGTCCGAGCAGCTCCAGAGCAAACAGGGGCAAAGCCCCGCCGGCTCCTGCATGGGAGTGCTCGGGGAGAGGGAGGTGGCTGGGGGCGGCTCCGGGAGGGGAAAGATTAACGAGGCAGCGGGGCTAAAACCCGACCTAAAGCGAAGCTGGAGCCGCTTTGGTTAAAGATTAAGACTTAAATGGGGACGTTCCGGTGGCTGTTGGACTGTGCGGAGCCTGCGGCCCCTGCGCTGGTCCCACTCCTGTCCATGGGGGAACGGGGATGGGGATGGGGATGCTGCTCAGCCCCGGTGACTCCGCTCACCCCGGGGAGGCAGCGCCGGTTTGCGGGCAGCCCCGCGCTCGGCACAACCGGACGAACCGGGGCCGGTCCCCGTGTGCGGCCCCGCAGAGGTGCGGAGCGCTCTGAGTCACCGGCGCCGGGCGCACCCACGGGGCCGCCTCCCCCGGACGAGCTCTTCCACCGCGGGGTGGGGACGGGGCCACGTCAGAGCCGCGGGGTGGCTGCGAGCACCCCCCTGCCCCGTCCTCATCCTCACAGGATCCCAGCCTCGGTTCTGCTGAAGGGACCCTAAAGCCCATCCAGTTCCAACCCCTGCCACGGGCAGGGACCCCTTCCACTGGAGCAGCTTGCTCCAAGCCCCTGTGTCCAACCTGGCCTTGAGCACTGCCAGGGATGGGGCAGCCACAGCTTCTCTGGGCACCCTGTGCCAGCGCCTCAGCACCCTCACAGGGAAGAGCTTCTGCCTAAGAGCTCAGCTCAGTCTCCCCTCTGGCAGGTTAGAGCCATTCCCCTTGTCCTGTCCATACAGGCCCTGTCCCAAGCCCCTCTCCACGCTTCCTGTCACCATTAAAGGCTGTGCCTTGTCCCTGATGAGAGGAGCCGTGACCCATCCCCGGTCACCCCATCACTGCCCCTCCATGGGCTTGGCTTCCCGCAGCCCCATGGCACAGCCTGCCCCTGGCACCGCTCCCGTGCCAGCACCAGCCGGTGGCTTTCAATGGCAGGGCCAGCACGACGCAGTTAACGATTCACTGCTCCTGACGGCGGGGCAGGGAAAGGGCTGGGAGCGAGCAGCCCGGCAGCTCCGAGCACTCGGGAACGGGACGTGCCAAGACCTCTCCCAGCAGAACAACAGCGGCTTTGTGGGAGCTGCTCCTGCTGCTGCTGCTGCTCCGGGCTCCCTGCTCACGCATGGGTTTGAGGCTGTCCGAACCCAGTGCGGCTTTGAGCTCTTTGCCCTCCCTCCTGCTCGGTCCCAGCGCCTCATCCCAATCCCCAGACACTCCTGGGTGGAACTTCCATCAACTGGGAGCAAGCGGCGCAGCCTCGGGCTGCTGGTGGGCAGGGAGAACGCACGGCCCCATCCATCCACACGCAGCTCCTTCCCACCGCCACCTTTCCCTGTGGCTGGAATCACTCCCAGCGACGTAAAGCAGCAGGAGCGAGGGGGAAGAGCGGAGCGGGCGGTACTTACGGCTCCGCCGCCGGGAGCGGGGCTGGCTCGGATGCTGCCTTATCCCTGGCGCTGGCTCCGGGCGACTGTTATTACTCATCTGTGTACAAACACATTCCACATGGTGCGGGTGTGAGCGGGATCGGGGCGGGATCGGGGCGGGATTGGGGCAGGGAGGCTCTGCCGGCTCCCGCTGGGATGAGCCCGGGAGCAGGGGAGGACGAGGCCGGCGGCTCCGGCTGCGATCCCCGGTGAGGAGCGAATGAATTCTGGCTCCTGTCGGAGTGGAACAGGAAAAAGGCAACAAAACCAAACCGGAAACGGCCGCGGCCAAGCGCTCGCGGGTCGTGCTCGGGATCAGCTGGAGCCGGGCTGCGAGGAAGTGGGATAGGGCCGGGAAAGGCGTTAACTCCCGAGCGCCCTGCGCATCCTCACCGCACAGGCCCCGCTGCTCCAGCACCCGGGGACACCCCAGACCTGCCTCCGTAGAGGGAGTTCAAACCCTCCCGATGATGCCCCCAAAGAGTCCTCAGTCATTCCCGGCTGGATGCACGGATGACCCCAGCCACGGGCTGTGGGGTCCCCTTGGGTACCACGGAGCAGGAGCCCCCGCTTGCAAACCCGGCGCCTTTGCCCTTCCCCTCCCCGCCGTGCGAGTGCGGCCGTTGGGAACGCGTTGCACAAGAGCGGGGCAGAGCCGGGGCCGTGGGTGCAGCTCCTGCTTTGTCCGGTAGCTCCCGGAGCCAAGCGGAATGTGCTGCTCGCAGGGAGAAGCGATGGGGTCGGTTGGAATCCGGGCTGGCGAGCGCACTGCGCTGCCCTGCATTCTAATCACAGCTCGCAGCAGTTCCATGGTGCGAGCGCGTTAACCCTCCCCTGCCGGCTTCCCACCGGACAGTGGCTTCCCAGGGATGCGCAAGCCCCTTCTGGGTGCAGTTCCCACCACGGGGGATGCCCAGGGCTGGGATCGAGCCCATTGCTCCATGTGGGAGGCTGACCCAGTGACCAGCTCACGGTGGAGCGGTGGCGTTCGCATCCCCCAAGGCAGGGTCATCCATGGATGTTCTGCAGCTCCACACAACAGGAGCTCAGCTCCAATGAGCACAAGGTCTGGAAGAGCTGCTTGGCTCCATTCAGAGCAGCCCCAGCTCAGTCCCTTCCATTGGGAAAACCCAACCCGGATCCGCACGATCAACCCTGGCATTCCCATTCCATGGCTGTCACCTTGGCGATTGTCCCTTGAGGGTGTTTGCACTGTGGCTGTGCCAATGCCCGTTGCCAAGGTGCCGCTGCTGAAGGGCACCAGAGGGTGCAGTGGGAGCCTTTGTCCTCCATGGGCACCCATGGGTGATGGGCAGGCATTGGAACAGGCTCAGTGCCATGGGTTAGGGGTGGCCTTGGCAGGGCTGGGGTAAGGGTTGGATCTGATGGGGTTAGAGCTCTTCTCCAAGCCGCTTGGGTCCATGACTCCCATGAGCTGCTCTGCGGGAGCTGGACACAGGGGGATGGAGGTGATGCTTGCACAGAGCATGGAGAACGTGGTGAGGAATTAAATGAGCCCAGTTAAACCTGCAGGGTTAAACATCAACCACTGCTCCCACTGCATGGCTCCGGAGGCTGCCTGGGGATGCCCATGGATGGGGCCATGGAGGGGAGGTGGTGGCTCCACAGTGGGGAGCCAGCCCAGGAGGGAAGGGATGAGCCTGGCTGCCCTGAGGAGGTGCCCTCTTTAAGGGAGAGCAGGCTCCTTCGGGCTGCACTGATCCCCTAGGATAGAACCATGGACTGGTTTGGGATGAAGGGACCTTAAAGCCCATCCAGCTCCAACCCCTGCCATGGGCAGGGACCCCTTCCACTGGAGCAGCTTGCTCCAAGCCCCTGTGTCCAACCTGGGAAGGGACCATGGAGCAGCTCCAGCTTTGCTCCAGCATCTCCTCCCCTCCTGGTGGATACCCCCACATCTGGAAAACGATGTGAGGAGCACAGAGGTGGCCCAGCCTCATGGATAAAGGGGAATCTGGTCAAAATCCCCCCCCCCCCCCATCCCCATCCCCAGGACCCTCAGTCCCGCATGGAGCCGGTCCTGGCTGCTGGCGCATCCCAGCTCCTGCGACATTCCTGGCTCCAGCTGCCTTAATGAATCCTTTTAATTACAGAATGAGTGCACTGACAGGTTCTGCTCATGGGGCACGAGATGGGGACGGTACCATCACGTTCTGGGGTTTGGCAGCAGGGGTGATGCTGCGGGAAGGGTGGAGAAGCAGCTCTGGAAAACCAATGGGGTTCCCAGTGGGTGCTGAGGAGGAGCCAAACCCTCACTGGAGCACTGGGGTTCCACAGGGAACATCACCCCTAGCATCCTCAGCGCAGGAACCCAGCTCCCAGTGTAAACCTATGCTTGGGAAGTGCTTCCTCACCCCCTCATCCCCATCACTCCCTGGAGCTCCAGGTGCTGCCCCTCCACACAAGCCAGTGCATCACAGCGAGCACCGCTCACTGTCACTATTGAACCCCTTTACGCAGCTCATCCCGGGTTAAGCACCCACAGCCATGCCCATTTCCCATCCCAGAGGGAAGTGGCTTTCACCACCCGCTGCTCCTGCTGACATTTCATTGTTCCAGCACAGCCCAGGGAAAGCAAAACGGCTACAGTGGAATCCTGAGGCATTTAAGAGGATCCAGCCAAGCCCTGGGAGGACTTGGGATAAGGATGGGATTGGAATCAAAAGGCTTCTTTATGATCAAATTAAGGGGTTTCTATTCCCCACCCGAGCGATGCCATTTGGATTTGCTTTTTGTTTTCCCTTCCCAGTAATGGGCTTTGCAGAAAGAAGACCTCACAGATGCTTCCTGGCTGGAATACTGGATCTGGGAGCGCTGGGGGGAGCAGGATGGGGTCCCTCATGGCACTGCCATGGGATGAGCAGCCCCAAGTCCTCACAGTGTCCTCAGCCTCAAGAGGCCACAAGCTCCTTCCTGAACATCCTCAAAGCCTCTTTTCACCCCCAGAAAGGTCCAGCCAAGATCTCACTCACAAACAGGCACCCTGGGCCCAGGGAATGTGTCTGTGCCCCCTTGACATCATTTACATCACATTTACAGCAAGCAGAGGAGCTGCCCACCAGAACACATCCTTAGTTCAGCCTTGCTTTGGAGGGGAAACCAAACCAGAGCAACATCAGAGACACCTCCTCCTCACCACCACCAAGAGCACAACCTGGCACCAGCCCATGGCAAGGCCAAGCCACGAGTACTCTTGTTCCTTCCCACACCAGAAGACATCACCTTGCTGCGATGCATTCACAGCACAGGAAGCCACCAGCTCCCTGGTCCGAAGTGGTGACACCTCAAAAGGAGCAGCAACCCCTGTGTCCTATGGGTGGATGCAGGAGATGCACAGGACCCATCTGTCCTGGTGAGTGCAGAGAGACCTGCACTGAGCACAGAGAGGGTGGTTATTACCATGGCACAAGATGCTCCATCCTGGTCATCATCCTGGCAGAAGAGGGTGTTTAGCATTCAGGAGGTGCATTGACATGCATGGGAGTTATCAGTCACTCCAGGCAGATGGGAAACCTCCTTGCACCACAAACTGAGCAGCAAACACTGCAATCCATCACCCAGACAACGGATCCCAATCCACTTCCACTTCCAATTCACACTGCTAAGTAACTGAAAATGGTGATGAGGCAAAACCATCCCTGGCCAAGTCAAAGGAGGCATCCTGGTCCCCTTTACATCCAGCTTCCCATTGACCACCTTCTGCATCAAGGTGGGAAGCATCGCTTCAGGCATGGGGTGGCTGAGGCAGAGGTGACCTCAATCCCAGTATTTTGGGGGAAATTTTGGTAGGAATTGCATGTTGTTAACTGAAAATAGGAATTGAGAGCAGTGCCCTTCGTGCATGTTAAAGGCAACCTCAGCCTCTCGTCTTTGGATGGTTTTAGTCAATTATAAAGTGGTATTTATAGATATTAAATATATTAAGATATTAATACATATTATAAAAATATATTTATTAAATATGTATATGAAATATCAAAGAAACTCAGAGTGAGATGAATTCAGGAGAAATCACAGAACCCCAGCCTGGTTTGGGTTGGAAGGGACCCTAAAGCCCATCCTGCTCCAACCCCTGCCATGGGCAGGGACCCCTTCCACTGGAGCAGCTTGCTCCAAGCCCCTGTGTCCAACCTGGCCTTGAGCACTGCCAGGGATGGGGCAGCCACAGCTTCTCTGGGCAGGCACCTCAAGCCACCAAACCCTTAACACTTGAAACCCCCCCGTTTCCATGCTTTCCACCTTCCCTACAATAAAACCCTTCTGGGATGCTCTAAAAGGAGCCATCTCCATCCCAGCAAGGCTCATGGGGGCTCACCTGTGACCATGCATAGGGCAGAAGGTACCGATGGGAAGAACGAAGACGCCCCGTGTCTGTCTTAAGATAAAAAAGTTTATTTTACAGTCTTATAAAGCAGCTTTCCATGAAGCACAAACAAACGTTGAGCCATTTACTTTGTATATAAACATAGTAGAACCTTTCCCGCTGCAAAAAGTCATGTCTGGCTGTATATAAAACTAACGTGTGCACATTGTGCTTAAACTGCAAAGTCTGTACAGCTTTACAAAGGACTACCCTTCACAAGAGCATCCTGTAAACAATTTATTGCATATTTAACACATGGTGGATACCCCACATGTAAAAAAGGAAACGTAGGAAAAAAAACCCTAAAGGACAATTACAAGGTGAATGGAAATAGCAGCTTTCAGTGAATGTCTTGCACAATGAGGGAAAGAGCACTGCCACACTTGTACACTTGTGCTTGTGTGTCACTGGGTTGCACATACCCACGCTTCCAATGAAGTCTATGTACAGGAAACCCCAGGGAAAGACTAAACAGGGCTTAATCCCCAAGGACTTTGTCAGTTTGAGCCTGAAAACAAACACCCCCCCCCCCCCCAAATTAAGTGAATTTGATGAAATTATGGGCACCAATGTCCAAGAATCCTCTTCCACTGCACAACGGAACTAAAAGCAGTAACAGGAGAAACCCCACGCTACCTCTCTTGGGTGCTGCAACCTCTCTCTGGTGGTGGTTGCTTTGAGTTACATGAGTGCTAAGGCCGACAAAACCACAATGGAGGTGTTAAGGATAAGGTGGTTTGACAACACAATGGTGTTGGCACGGCCAACCCATGCTTCTGAGCTCACCCATCCAACAGGGGCCAGGCTGACCCGCACCCTAAGAGAGCATCACTGCAATTCTCCAACTGGTATTCACTGAAAGAACAGAACAAGGAAGTGATGGCCTCCATAAGGCACCAAAACCATCTCTTGAGCAGTACCCAAAGAGTCTCTCTAGATCCTCCAAAGCCAAAATGGGCAAAAGGAGGAGGAAACGTGCAGGAGAAAGATGTCTGTGTTTGTCAAGGAAGCACATCCTGGGGTTTGCGTGTGTGTGTGTGCGTGCGTGTATTCACATGGACGTAACAAATTCACCTCTGCTACCTTTGGTATTGAAACTTCTCCTGTGAGATGCCCTCCTCCAATGAACTGCCACGACCACAGCATGCATTTGCAAAGATCAAGTAATGAAACGCTTGCGCCTGCGAGAAAACAGAGAAAGCATCAAAAATACATGGAAAAATGAAATCCCGATGCCTACTGTCCCTGTGCCCAGCCTTCTGGGGATGCGAATGAGCTTCATCCTCAGCGTGAGCATCCTCACCTTAACCCCCACCTACAACATGGAACAGGATCAACCAGGACGCTGAGAGGGCAGAGGAATGGTGGGTGTCAAGGGTTGGCAACCAGGAAAAAGCAGGCTCCTGGTTCCTTCTGCATTGCCACAGGATGGTGGGAGCGTTTGGGTTTGGATGTGTGTAGTGGGTTATTGCACAGGTCCCCTTGCTCGCCTGGCAGAGCCACAAGGACAAAGCACACCCCAAAGCCACCGCTGGAGATGCAGCGACCCCGTACACCATGAGTAAGACAGCACGCAGAGGTGAAACTTGGTATTAAAGCACGAGTGGAGCTGGAAAGCCCTCTTGGGGTGATTTTCCTTCTTAAAATGCTTGGGTTTGAACCTCAAGCAGGTTAAAAATGAAAACCACCATAGGAAACCCTTCATTCGTTCCAACCGAGCTCCTCAGTGAGCTCTGCATCACACCCAGCAATTCAAGCCGCCCAAAGAATGAAGCTGCCAGAGCTCAGAGGAGCCTCTCAGACGTCACTAAGAACCACAGCACAAACCATGGGGCACCACGATGAGAGATCCCAGGTACCCAGGCGGAGGCGACAGCGGCAAACCTGATGGCTGATGGTGAGTTTGGCTTTACAAAAGGGGGTGGCGTGGTTGCAGGCTCTGTGCAGTCCCACCGGGTTGTGCTTAGGTGATGAGACCCCGAAGCCTGGCACGCTGCTTGAGGGGCTGCTGTCCCCATGTCTATGTGGAAACCATGCAGCTACAGGACCTCCACGCAGAGAACTGGGGGGGAACCATAATAACGGGTATTTTCACCCCAAGAATAGGACCTGTGTTAAAAAAACACCTTTAAAAAGATACACTGAGCACCACCCAGGCTGTAAGTTAATACACATCAACGGTGTTACACCAAAGCCCTGCTCCAACATAGACACAGGTAACTCCATTTTAAGAGGCCATGGACTAACGCTTCAGGCAAGTGCTGGACTTCAGAGACCTGTATGGCTTCTGCAAATGTCCTCCTAGTAAAAGAAAACCCCAACCAAAACCCACCCCCACACTCAGGGCTTTGCTTCGTGCCGATGGGTTTCACTGTGGAGCGCTAAGGACAGGCTGAAGCTCCCGAATCCATCAGACCCAACCGTTTTCACACTGGAATGCAACGATTTCCCGAGGTCAGTTTTAAGGATCACTTCTTTGAAACGGTCCATACAAAAACCAGGATGCCACCTGGGACACTGTGGCTCCAGGACGCAGGGGTTTGGTTGTGAGCTCTAGTTGTGCTTTGCCCGCCCGCCTCGCAGGTAGCTCTTCCAACGCTTGACGAACTCCTTGAAGATGGGCGACTCGTCGATGGTGCTGAGGAGCTGGAGCTGGTTGATGTGGGTGGTGTGATAGTCCCAGCGGGCCAGGTTGGGAGCAGTGCCCAGCATGAAGTGCCGAAGGTCGTAGATGGTCCCTGACCCGGTGTCGTAGAGGGGAAGCATGGCCTTGAGGGACTCCATGCCCCGCTCGTAGAGGACCCGCGCCTCCTTCCCCAGCTTCTCCCCAGCCGTTTCTTTCAAGTCATAGAGGCCGATTAAGGAGTACATGAAGCCGTTGAGCACGAAGGAGCTGGGGGAGGTCGGGTACTCCTCGTACCAGTCGTGCCTGTTCATGAAGACAGCCTTGACCCCACGCTGCTCCGATGGCAGCTTGTAGGGCGCCGTAGCGCGCAGCGCCGCGCTGAGGAACGCCTGGTCCTTCGTCAGCAGGTACGCCCGCACCAGCGTCGAGATGGCCTGTCCTTGGGCCATGGCCGAGTACCAGCCCGGGTCCAAGGACTTAAAGCCTTCCCCCAGCTTCCTCGTCACCATGATGGGCCAGCCACCCCTTTCATCCTGGTTCCTCACCAACCAGTTGCTGGCAGCGAAAAAAGCCGCCATGTGAGCGGTGGCCGAGATGGTGACGTTGTCGAGGAAGCCTCTTCCCTTGGCCACCAGCCTCACCACTCTCTTGGGCATGATTTTGGTCTGCTTCACAGCTTTCGTGTTGGAGAGCCCGACGCCTTTGCGCAGGTCGGTCACCAGGTCCCTGGTGAGGGTGCTCCAGCTAGTCCTGGCGCCGATGCCGTAGTAGATGTCTCGGTCCTTAAAGGCGATGAGCTGGTTGTTGGAGACGTAGTGCACGGTGAAGAGCTGGTTCTTCTCCGTTGTCTCGAGAACCACGGAAACGCTCCCGTTTGTGATGAATTTGAGATCAAAGGAAATGATGAAGTCTCGGGTGTTCCCAAGCTGCAGAGATATCCCCTCGGTGCTGTCTGCAAAACAAACCAGGAGAGCCTTGTTCAGTGCTACAGCACTCATTTCTCCTAAGCGTTTAAGCTCTGAAGTGCAGCTTCCAGAGGCAACCCCTCTTACCAGGCCGGGGCCAAAAGCTTTTAGGGCAGCCCATCAATAATTCAATCACTCTTTCTGTGCACATTCATGTATTATTTAATTAAGCATAAAGTGAATCCATGAGCAAAGGCCGACACGTTTGCATCTTACATTAACGCGCTGCAGCACTTGGCTGCGGAGCAGAAGTGCCAGGGGCTCCATCAACGGCTTTAGCAGATGCTTCTGGTACCTGATTGATGGAGGAGCGTAAAGGACACCAGAAGATACAGGGTAGGGGAAACAGGGGTTCTTCCTGCTGCCTGCAGCTGGCAGGACACAGGACAGGCAGAGCCAGACTTATGGGGCACATCAGTGTGACTTTCTTCTTTCCCAATCTGACAGCTCCAAAACCTGATTAGTTTAATGTGGGAAAGGAAGAAAGTAATATGGAAAGACTGATGCTAAAGTATTTATTAACGTCTGCATTACCAAAACTCAGTTTAATTAAAAAACATATAAATCTAGATAAAGCTCCCAGGCAATGCCACACAATAAAATCCAGCATGCTCTCGTAGGCTAGATTTTAGACTGGAAATTCAACTTCTCCCCCCAAAAGCCTCTATACTTGCAGATCAAAGGGCTAATTAGTTTGTAAGGCTGTGTGCAAATCCTGTAGCTTTGAAGGCACAGAGGGATGATGAACACTTAAAGACGGGCATCTTCATTTAACAGCTTTCCATAGGGTAAAACTCTCCCACGCAAAGCAATTGTTTCCCTTCTGTACAGCACCCAGCATTTTGACCCAGAGTCATATTTTCCAGTCTTTTAAAGCAAAAAGCTTCATTCCTTTGAGCTCTGGAGATCAGCATCTGCTTTGGGAGGAGAAACCAAGCGCTTTGCTACACAGTGTGCTCCTATGAGGAATCTAATTAAAACAACCCCCCCTCACAATTCCTGTCAAGTAAGTTTCATGGTTCCCTGTAAATAAATGCTTGTGTGATAACGAAGGGGATTATAATAGAGAGGAGGGGAAAAAAACCAGAGTTTTAAGAAGGAAAGGGGAATGAAAGGCTGCCTGTTGTTTGCACTGCCTTGAGCGCCTGCAAATCCCTTACTTAAGGCCATCTAAGACAAGTGGATGCAGACCATGGCCTTCGAGTCCTGCAGATTACTCTGCCATCAATAAAGGATGAAGAGAGAATACATAAGAGATCTTTTAGCCTTCCCTCTCCCTGTATTTATCTACTACAAAGACACGAGAGTGTTCGACAGCTCTTTCCCTGGAGACCCAGGCCTAAGGTGCCAACTGAAAATTACTTCATTGTCTTTTTAAGTAATGGACTCATTAATTCTAATGGGTATTGATTGAGGAAAAACACAATCCCTGCTTATTAATGAGCCTCTCCTAGCACAAAGGAAACTCGCATGAAACAGTGAATTTGCCTGCTAAGTACGAAACAGGACACGGTGAAAGGAAGAGATGGTAACACAAAGCATCTCGCATGGCTGCAGAGGATGGGGAGTGCCTGTGTTCAGCACCCACATCATCCCCATTCCCCCCCCAGCCCTCTGCAAATACCTACACACCATGGGGGCAGCTGCAACCTTGTTTAAGGCAACTTGGGTTAAGCAGAACCAATATTAGTTGCATCCCGGTGAACAGAGTGATGCCAGGTCCAACCGGAGAGCTGCACGTGCTGAGCTGGGTGCAGGCTGAAAATAGGCCTTATCTCTCCTCTGTCAACATCTGCTTATCACACGTCAGTGCTATTTCCCAGCCTGCACAACTGGTTCCTCTTTTTCTACTTCTTTTGTTGCTGCTATTTTGAGGCAGGAGCGTGACTGCAGCTTCTCACTGCCCTCCCTGTGTGCATCCACCCAGTGGGTCATTGAGGTACTGCTGGGGAAAGCAGCGATGGGGAGGAAAGAGAAGAAAAGGCAAACTCCAGAGGTACAGAAACAAGGAGATGTCCTCAAGTGAGCTCTTAAGGATGAGGAGTCATGGAGGGTAAATGAACACACATTAATCCCATGCACCTAAAGCTCCCCATGCACCACCTGTGCGAATTAAAGGCTTTGCTGCCACGTTGGGCATAACCCACCTGGAGCGATGAACTGCTTGACACTGGTGAACTTGGCTCTGTCAGACACTGTGGACAGGGAGCAGCCTTTGGGCACCGTCCACTCCGCAGACCTGCTGGCTCTGTCCTTCTCTTCGGCTGTTTCATAGACCTCCACGTGAGGGGGTTTCTCGGTCAGGTTCTTACTGTAGTGACTCAACCCGTACTGTGCAATCTGGATGGGGTAGAAATAGCCTTGAGGGCCCCACTGCGTGGATAATGGCACACCTGCAAGAGGAGGAAAAGGAGGACGTTATCAGGAGGCTTTCAAAGAGCAGCGCTTGCAGCTCTGCACACTCCTCCTCCACAGCCCATCGCTCCTTTACTCCTAGCAAGTGGCATTCCCAGGCTTCCCCGTTAGCTGGGCTCAAGGAAAGCCGTGTTCAAGGAGTGAACTGCTCCCTAGTCAAAGCGAAGCAGATTTGAGTGGCAGAGGGAGTCCTTATCGTGGTCTCCCATACATTCTCATTTATTGAAGCATCATACTTGGTTTAAAACACATTTAAAAAAGCCCTGACAGATGTTTTTCCCCATGCTCCAGGGACCACTAAATCTCCAAATGATGTTACATCCAACACGATCCCTTTAATGCCACATCAATCTTTGCAAATCAAGTGGACGTGTTACTACTGGATTTGGGGAAGTTACTGGATGCTAAAGGATCAATTCACCCCGCATCCACGAATCTGCTTCAGTTACCTTGGCTCCCTCAAAAGCACTACGAGCACAGTCTGCAGTGATGCCTGCAGAAACCAGCCAGGCTCTCTCCACCCCATATCAGCACAAAATGCCCCAGTCCTTCCCCCCAGAGCTGTCCCTTGTCTTCAGAGGTACAGCTCCAGCCCATTGTCCTTGGGATTAACCCTCCTCACACAACTCACTGTTGTTGGTGCCCTGTAGCAGAGCACACTTCTTCACTCTTAATTCTGTGTTAAGGTGAGTTAGATTGACGAATCTGCATGACCCACAGGAATCCCAAACTGGTTTGTGTTGGAAGGGAACTTAAAGCTCCTCCAGTTCCAATCCCTTGCCACGGGGAGGGATACCTTCTACTAGAGCAGGTTGCTCCAAGCCCCATCCCTTGAACACTGCCAGGGATGGAGCATTCACCACTTTGCATCAAAGATGCAGCAAATATTAAGAACCATTTCAACCATTAAAAAGAACTTAAATACCAGACACAAACCTTCAACACCGCTTATGCACTTGACTCTGTCCCGAACCTCCACATTGTAGCCCTCGAAGGACATGAAGACCCCATCGGGGTGGTAAGGTGCTCGCTGTGTGTATACTTTGGAGTAGCTATGAGAGAATTCAAACCTGTCATAACCATCGTACTGAGCAATTTTCCCATAAACCTCAAAGTATTTCTCTACCCAGCTGAACGGCAGGAAGACCTCGTTGCCTTCCCTCCTCCCTTTAACGGTGTGCTCGTCATTGATCAGACAGTCTATCTCCTCGTACTTCAGCCCCGGGGCTTTGTTGAACCCCGCTGCGATGGGGGGAGCCTTCTGCTGCTCCTGGGGGGACGCCTCCTCGCTCTGCTGGCGGGCCAGGTCGCTCTCGGAGGCGGGCAGGCTGCGCGGGAAGGGGCCAGCTCTGTCGGAGGAGCATCGGTTCCAGAGCAGCACCATCACCAGGGTGAAGAGGGCGCAGATGATGATCAGAGTCTTGTAGTTGACCCGAGCTGCCAAGCAACGCATATTCACACCATACCTGCAGAACAGAGAGGGGGAGAGGGGTGTAAGCAGTGGGGCTTGCTGCTGGACCTGGTGGGGCATCATTCAGGGCCCCATGTGCGCACCATGGTAGTGGTTGGTAGGAAAGGGACAGGCAGGAGCACGTAAAAGAGAATTTGGGGTTCCCTAGTCCTCCACAAGCAAAATGTACCAAGTCCTGATTCACCTCCTGGCTGCGACAACGCCACCAAATGCAAAGGGTGCAAAAAAGAGGTGGCAATCACAGGGCAAACACTTCTACATAAAAAGCTTGATGTCAGCGAGCTGCTCAGCAGCTCTGGGAACCAGAACTAACCCTCAGCACAGCACCAGCACACAAGGGGAAGAGAAGTCCCCAAGACAATGGAATCGCCATCTACCCAGCACCGTGGAAAAGGGATTTGCAACGACACAGCCCTACAATCCAAACCTGAAGCCTGGAAATGCTTATAGCTGGCTCTGAAGCTGAAGTCACAGAGATACCTAGAGGAAAAAGTAGGGGATGGAAACAGCAGCCTCAAGCTATGAGCATCCTAGAGAAGAAAAGGAGGGACTGGGAAAGTATGGGACTGCCCTGGGGACAGGAACTCTGCAGGCACATGTGGGGACTCGTGTTCTGGTCCCCCAGGAGAAGGCAGGAACTGTGCAAACCCCTCCTTGGGATCTTCTTTGATTATTCCTTCGTTTTGTGAGATAAACCTGGTGCACAAAGCGCCTCCAACACCGGTGCTGCAGCTCAGCACCTTACCTTAGGAACAAGGATACTGGTGTGAAAATAAACCCAGATTTAAGCACACTCGCTCAGAAGAGCCTACTTTTGCCACAGCATCATGGAATGGTTTGGGTTGGAAGGGACCTTAAAGCTCCTCCAGCTCCAACCCCTGCCACGGGCAGGGACCCCTTCCACTGGAGCAGCTTGCTCCAAGCCCCTGTGTCCAACCTGGCCTTGAGCACTGCCAGGGATGGGGCAGCCACAGCTTCTCTGGGCACCCTGTGCCAGCGCCTCAGCACCCTCACAGGGAAGAGCTTCTGCCTAAGAGCTCAGCTCAGTCTCCCCTCGGGCAGGTTCAAGCCATTCCCCTTGGCCTGTCCCTACAGGCCCTTGTCCCAAGCCCCTCTCCGGGTTTCCTGCAGCCCCCTTTGCAGGACTGCTACATGGTCTCCCTTCTAACACCTCCTTAAAGGGATGATTCCTTCACATGACACACACATCCCAATGAAGTTTTATTCCCATCGTTTAAGTGCAGCTCCATCTGATGCCCCCAGGACCAGGCAGCTTGTGCAGCCCAGGAGGGCACAGCAGGGCTCAGGGCTTCATCAAGGACCCCTAGCTCTCACAGGTAGCCTGGTGCTCAGCAGGAGTTAACCCCACAGCAATTAAAAGGAGTTTCCTCTCCAGTCCCACCACCCTCTTTTAAATGGAAATAATCTATTACCTCTCCCCATCTCGATGCTGCAGCCACACCATAAGCACCATTTAAAACCGGACTTCCAAAGGTAAGTGTCTTCTTTTCCCAGAGCCCAGTTTGCTACAGGCTTTTAGAGAACATAAATTTATGCCTAAGTGTATTGTTATGGAAATGCTCACATAATAAATCCAATTTTCTGCCTCAGCAGATCAGTTTCAGTGATGGTGCTTTCAGGATGACCTCAACAACTACGCCCCGCTCTCTTGACACAAAGGGATAATTCACTTTTAAGCAGGGAACAGCATTGCTGACACACTTCACCCCTGCCTATAACACTCAGACTTAGTTAAGCCATCTGGATTACCAGGGGATGCGGATGGAGGGAAGGGGAACACCACCGCCATAGCTTGTCGCATCCCTGTTACCATCGCTCCATGGCTTTAAAGACTCCAGAGCTGCAAAAAGGTCCTGGCTGTGTTATACACAGCTTTGACTTCATTTTGGTTCTGCTGCTTTGGATAAGCAGACAACTGGGAGGGTGCAAAGTGTTTCCTATGCTGGCCTGGCAGCTCCAGGGATGAGCAGGGGAGATGCTGCAGCTCGGGTCCAGCTGCATCCGCGCTTCCTGGCAACGCTGCTGAAATATTTAGTTCTTATCAAGTATAAATGAAGTGAAGAGGACTCAGGGAAGTGGAGGATTTTGAGGGAACCATCGCATTAAACATCACCAGTCACTGAAGTACGAGTGCAGCAGAGAGGCTTATCATGGTAAATGGATAGATGGAGTTTTATTCAACCGCAGAATAAAAAGAACTGGGGATTTCAACAGTAAAAAGAGGTAATTTAAACCCACAAAGGGCCTGTGGTAAATTGGTTTATTCCCCTGCTGCTCTTATGAAAAGGATTTCATCATACCCTACTTAAAAGATTTAAGGGGTTCAACACAGCAAAGTAGTTTTAAGTTATGAAGTGCCACATACACAAGACCCACATCTGTGTTCTCCTCATTTGGCTGCAAGATGCACTGAGCCTCTCTATGGCTCTGCACCAAAACATCTCCTACCTCTGTTTCAAGACACAGGCTGCTCATCATAAAAGCCAATCCATACCCCTCAAGTGACACTGGAGCCACAGGTTTAAACGGGAAAATACTTGTTAGAATCCTGCCTAGAATGCCTTTATTCCTGTGCTGAATCACCAGGCTCCAGGAATGGATGCACCACGACAATGCAAATAACCTACACATCAATACTTGTGTAGTTTTACACTGGTTGTGCTTACACAGCTGCTGTACAACTCACCATAGGAATGATAAACTGCAATGAAATAGCATCTCCTACAGAGCAAACTGGTTTCTAAACACACCAAAAAGCAAGGATGCAATCAGAGAAACTTCTTTTTGAGATGTCAAGGTTTGAGGCACTGGTTTAAATATAAAGAACAAGTGGGTTAACTAAAAACTAAATCTTGATACTGCAGCTTTGTTAATGATGCCTGAAAAAGGGACGAATCTTGGCGCTCCGTGCTGTGAATTGGGAATCCAGAGTCCCAGCTGTGTACCCGAGTGACAGATTCAGTTCTGGTGCTCAGTTCTTACATAAAACCACATTATTTGCATGCTAAAAATACCTCTCTCTCACCAAGGCCCTCCAAGACAGTTTCTGATCTGCAAAACTGTGTTGAATGTATTAAAAGGAAGAATTTCTCTCAAGTCCAGACCACTGCCAGGCTCCTGTGTACCCGGCACAGGAACCATACTGGTGCTTCATGTGTCATGGCTCAGCTTCACAGCCCAGGACCAACACAGAGGCTTCTCTCCTGGGTATAAGCATCAACTTAGGGCATTTAGGCTTTTGGAGGGGGCTTGGAGCAAGCTGCTCCAGTGGAAGGTGTCCCTGCCCGTGGCAGGGGTTGGAACCGGAGGAGCTTTAAGGTCCCTTCCAACACAAACCATTCCATGACTAAAAATCATACAATTGTATGAGTTTTAATTGGCTTTGTCCCATTGGAACAGGGTGCCCAGAGAAGCTGTGGCTGCCCCATCCCTGGCAGTGCTCAAGGCCAGGTTGGACACAGGGGCTTTGAAGAAGGAGGGAAGGGAGGATGCACTCCAAAAGCACTTCTGCTTTCCCAGTCTCCACCAATGGGACGTGGTGAATTCATTTCAAACCCAGCGGTGTGGAAGTGGGTAACCTGCAGCAGAACTCAGACTTACCAGCCCCATCTGGTTCCAGATAGCAAGATCGAGTCCCTGCAGGCTATTGACAAGAGGCACGTTCCGACACTGGCCACAGCAGTTCGCACGAGAGCTGGTGCATTCTACCCAGGCAAGAGGCAAGAATCACTTACAGCTCCCCAAGGTCCCATCTATGCAGGTTACCGGTGGCAGTGGGATGAATACAGGCAGGAAAACTGCTGCTGGCCATATATTTCTCTTTATTTTTAACCCTTATTCCCATTTCACCTGGGTGGCCCCGACACAAACTGCGTGTTCAGAGAAGCAGTGGCTGCGGCAGTGCTGCCTTGCCTGGGTTTTTGCTCACATGACATGGATCAGCTTTTAATAAACCAGATCAATGATTCTGCAGCCAACAGGGATGACTCACATTTAACTTGAATTAAAAGCCCCAGAGGATGCATCACGTGCAGCAAGAGCCCGATGTCCACAGTTCTGCAACCACCCTCCTAGCATGAGCAAAGAGCAGGGTTTCAGAGAATGGTTTGGGTTGGAAGGGACCTTAAAGCTCATCCAGCTCCAACCCCTGCCACAGGCAGGGACCCCTTCCACTGGAGCAGCTTGCTCCAAGCCCCTGTGTCCAACCTGGCCTTGAGCACTGCCAGGGATGGGGCAGCCACAGCTTCTCTGGGCACCCTGTGCCAGCGCCTCAGCACCCTCACAGGGAAGAGCTTCTGCCTAAGAGCTCAGCTCAGTCTCCCCTCGGGCAGGTTCAAGCCATTCCCCTTGGCCTGTCCCTACATCCCTTGCCCCAAGCCCCTCTCCAGGTTCCCTGCAGCCCCTTTAGGCACTGGAGCTGCTCTAAGGTCTCCCCTTCAGGAGCCTTCTCTTCTCCAGGCTGCCCCAGCCCTCGCAGCATCTCTGAAGCTGGTTAAAGATCCTGGATGTCTTCCTTACCGAATGAGGAAGGACTCAAGAACCACATCACCGAGTGCATTCCACAGGAACTCGGTGGTTGGCAGCGAGTTAAAACCTTCACATTTAAATCCTCTGTGTTTAAACAATAATCACCAGTAAGGTGCCCATGGAGCCCTGGAGGTCTGTGTGCCCTCTAAACTCACCGGCTCCCTGTTTGCTCAGCAGGAAGACAGGCAGCATTTTCACTTCAGACCAGGGATTCCTGCTGAACAGAGATAAGCCACCTATTTACTTTGAAGCCTCTATGCCAGACTAAGCTATTTAACACAGAGAGAAAAACACCCACCCTGAACAGTGACCGCCGACGTGAGATAGCTTAAACTGGGTATTAAAGAACAGACACTGCACCACTTAACAAAATACAGCAATAAGACTGAAAGTTCAATATATACCCAGCCCTAAATGTTATACTCGCCTACACCCAGATCTCAGGCATTTTCAGCCCCTGTTTCCTGCTTACTACACACAGCAGAACACTCTTTAGGCTGACGTTAGCTGCAAGCGGGGTGGAACCGTGACAGCTCATCGCTGCGATGGGATAGAAGAATAAAAACACAAAGAACTCAGGAACTGATTTCAAATAACTGTAGAAAATGCTTTCTGATAACTGGAGTGACACCAACCCTTCAGATCCTTTGCCAAGGTGTAATTATGTCTTCAAATGGGGGTATTTATGAATGAGCAGAACGCTAACCTGGCTCCATCGAGCCAGCTTCGCTGTTACTGTTTTATCTCTATCTGCTTTGCTCAGCGCCTGTATTCAGTCAGTATCTAATACCCAGCACATTGTCAAGTTTGCTTGTTTTTTCCCCTCAAGCACTAGCAAATCACAAGACCAGGAATGAATCCATCCACTGTAACTGAGTCTCGATTACCAGCCTCACCACCGGTTCTTTAGCACAGATTTACTGCCTAATCCTCACCACTTCCAGAGCTCCATCTGGGGATGATCACACAGAGAGGATCTGAAATATGAAGTGAAGAAGCCACATCCAAAGCTTATCCTACAGCTTTCCAGTCCAATTAGAGCCTAATACAGTTTTATTTGTACCAACATATTATTAAGCATCAAAGTCTGTGGCTGTATCATACCCTAGAATGGTTTGGGTTGGAAGGGACCTTAAAGCTCATTCAGTTCCAATGCCCTGCCATAGGCAGGGACACTCAAACAGGGGAGGGAAAGACACTGAGGCAGGACAGGGAAGAGCTTCTCAAGATCTCATCTCAGTCTCCCCCTCTACCTAAATTTCCTTAAGTTAGAGCAAAGCATTTCCCCAGACAAAACCAGGATTTCAGTGACTCATGGGCCTCCGATGGTCACGCAATCAGAGAGGTTTTATAATAGAAATGGGGAAAAATACACTGAAAAATAGCAAAAAAACTTGCCCACTTCATTGCAGTGCAGGGGACAAGCTGCTTCAAGACTCGACAGGGCCAGCCTAAGCCCTGCTTTCAACAGGAGGTGGGGCTAGATGATCTCCAAACGTCCCCTGCAGCATCGGCTTTTCTATGCAGCCACAGTAAGATGCCCAGCCTAAAGAGAGCGCATTGATGTCTTCACACGAGGACATGGAGCATTGGAGCAAGGCCAGAGGAGGCCATGAAGATGCTCCAAGGGCTGGAGAAGCTCTTCCCTGTGAGGGTGCTGAGGCGCTGGCACAGGGTGCCCAGAGAAGCTGTGGCTGTTGGAGGAGCTTTAAGGTCCCAGAGGCAGCTCTCTGTGCCCTTTGCTTTCCTGATGACCCGGACAATAACGCCTGCAGTATCAAGCAGCCAAAGCAGCACGAGCTTCCTTCACTCCACAACAAACCTGTTTATTTTGCTCCCAGCATATGCTCCAAGAGACCTTTCACATGAATAGAAAAGGAAAACCTTTTACCCTGGTGCCAAGAGAGGCAGCTCAGTGACCCCAACCGTGTTAGACCCATGACTTCTTGCTGCCCAGAAAGCCCCACGTTCACTCCGTGCTTTTCCTTCCCTCCCTCCCAGGTTCCCTCCAGGAATTCCCACTAATAAAATCCAGATTATCCAGAACAGCAGCATTTTCTCCCTGCCATTAAGCAGCCCGACACACTCCACACATGCAGTGGGAAGAGAGAACAGCGTTTTCTTTCCCAATGGGGTATCGCAGCAGCAACCGCGCGGACAGAGATGGAGCCACTTGTGCTGCCAACTCATTACAACGCCTACAAGAATTCAATACAAAGTGGGCTCCAAATTACAGCTCTGACAGCTGGCAAGCATTTGGCATGCCTGCTCGCATGCAGCCCTCAAGTGAAAATAGAAGAGCCCTTCGAGCCTGAACGCTGCCATCGTTTAAAGAGAATGGGCAGGAGCGCTTGGAGAGGCACACACCTCGCCCCCGAAATCACACAGCTCCCATCAGGCAGATGAGCTTTGAAGATGTGGTCCAACACCTTCACGAGAGCATGGCTTTGTTTGGCAATTGCTTCGTTAAGTTCTGCAGTTAATCACAACTTACCTTCCACTAAGTGATGGATACACAGAGCCCGCATCCAGCAGTGCTGCAAGAGGCAGGGTCACAGCAGCAAATGCATTAGCAGTTCCCCCCACGCTGCTTCTAAGTGCTCCCCTGAAAGCTCCACTCTCTGGGAAGCCCAAAACCCCACAGCTTTGGTTCACTGATGTTTACAGCTTATTTTTGGCACCAACCACTTACAGCCATGCTCTGCGGGTACAAGTTGCATCGGCTTTTTCTTTCACTGTGCAGAAAGCGGAGGTTAAGGAACTAACACTGCTCATAGTAGAGAAATAAATAAAATCTGCTTGAAACTCAGAGGAACTGGCTAAAAACACCTCATTTTTCTTGCTTAGCAAACCCTGGCACTCCATACAGATGGTGCTCCAGGAAGGAATTACTGATGGGAGTTACTCAATTGCAGAATTAAAGGTTCCAGGAAGATTCTGCTGCTTCACCAACTCAGAGAACAACCAGGATAACAGTAAGTAATGCTGCTTGAAAGCTTTACTAAAGGGATTTTGCCAGGAAAGTTTGAAGCTTTGAGTGTAACTTTTCATGGGTACTTTCTCCTAGAGCCCACTTAAAAAACTCACTGGAAATACGATGAGGAAAGTGCATCGTGTCATATATTAGCATTGGCTGAACATCCATAGTGGCAAACACAAGCTAAGCAGCAACATAAAGCATAGAGTTTTCCATGCATACTGGTCTGAAGAAAAGAGAGAAGACAGAGACCCTCTGTGATGGCCACCTCTGGGTTTCAGAGCCTGGCTTAGATGTACAACAGCCGCGTAAGCCAATGTGATGGGCACCAGAAGCATCTGGATGATGCTGAAATGAAGCAGTGTCCATCTCCAGCCCCACTTCTGAGCTGTCTAAGGATCAGCACCCAAAAACATACGCACCAGGTCAGGGTGTCCAAGCTGCAGGGAACAGGGTCAAGGCAGCCAGGAGCAGGGTATCCAATCCACAAGATGTCTGTTTCTGAGGAGAGGTGCTGTTTGCTTCTCCTGGTCCTTCACATCAAGCTCTGTCTGGGACTTCAGCCTCCAAATAACAGCCTGTCCTGGCAGAGTTGATGTTTAGACTCTGGCATTAACCCTGGCAAGTGTGCCGGCAACCTTCTGCTTCTAGACTTTTCCATATTCAGCACAACAGAGATGACTCAGAGGCAGCAGCACCAGTGCTGGGGAGCCCCTGATAACAAGATCCTGGTTTATTGAAGTTCCCCACAAAGGCTGGGCTGCCTTTTCCATAAGGCACAACAGGAACTTCCATTCTAGCTTTCAGAATAGAGCCCTCAATGCACGTAATAAGGTATGAGACAGAGATATTTCTTTTCTCCCACCTTTTGCAATCCTACCTTTCAGCTCCTTCGAAGCGCTGATGAAAAAGGAGGGCGGCACAGAATTAGAAGTGATCTGAAATCACGCTGAAAGCTCCCCGATAGCAAACTGCTTTGGCTGTGAATCATTCTGCATAGCTCCAACAGTGACCTATTTACTTCCAAGCCCAGGAGGGGATGACCATGAAACACCCAACAGATAAATAAAACTACCAGTGAAAGGTCAGAACCACTGCGATGAGAGAACAGGTTTCCAGAGAAGATTCCTCTCTTCAGGATGAGACGTGGCTCAGCAAAGCAGGAAGAAGCACTGCATGGGGAGCCATGGAATATTGCTGTCCCTGGCTCCTTGTTCTGCTGATTGCCAAGGTTCTTTGCTTCTTTACTTCCAACAAAACCAGGATGCGCACCTACAATCGCTGCAGACTTGTGCATCCAACGCAGGGTCAAGCAGGGTTTGGGGCTCTGAAATCCTAGCAAACAAATCTAACTGAATCAGGCAAAGCAGCTTCTTTGTGGGAAACGATTGCAAGATCTTCAGACTGCTCCTTCAGGGAGGTAAGAGCCACAAGGTGGGATCAGAGATCAAAAGCAGGAACCTGGCTTTGGAAAAGCACCCTCCTTTCTGCTCTGCAGCTCTGTTCGGGAAGGCCAGGGCTAAGTTTTGCCAGTTGGAGCAAACAACAGAGTCCATTCTTAAAGACAGCAGGAAATACCAGACATGAGCCTTCTACTGCACTGCCAAATCCCTCATTTTTGAGACTTTTTTTAATGCCTACCCTGCCTGAAAAACAAATTTCATTTTACAAGCATTCTACCCCAATATTTTAAGCACCCGGATCTCAGTCCTCCTATGTGTAGATAGGAGAATGTCACCCATGATTTAAACCTATACACTGCAAACAAGCCAAATAAGGCCTCCCAATCCAACCCCATCCATTCTGTGATGCTTCAGATAGGACAAACCAACTGCACAATGAGAAGACAGAAGTTGTCCTCCTGGACAGGACAGCTTTGGAGTTCGGTTTCCTTTTTCTGAAGCATTTAGAGGTTATATTGCATTGCCCATTAAACTCCAGCACGGTGTCATGACACCACAGGACCGGTATATACATGGGAACAGCTTCCAAGTTGCAAGACATGAAGCAAACCTCCTGCTCTGCACTTCTGGAAATGCAGCCAGAAGCATGATCCACTTTGGGTACCACATCAGGACATGGGTGATGCAGAGCGCAGCAGCAGGGACGGATGCACAGGCACATTCCCTAATGCTCTCTTCCATGTATCATCCACCTTGCATTTCCCTAGAGACACTCTCTGTGCTCTGACATCAAAACCAGGAGTTACAATCAACGTTATTTGGTTGATTTGGGTTTTTTTTTATGGAATATTTATGTCATTTCCTGCAGCAGTCGGTTTGATTCCATCCCAGTTTAATGGACTTGAGCAAGTTTAAGTGGTTTGTCCTTTGGAGAGGCAGCCTTGCAGAAGGGTGTCCACACATCCCCTACAGAAAGTCCTTTTCTTCATGTCATTCACTAGTAAAGAGGTAATAATTGTATTGAAACAAGGAAAACCAACTTCACCCTGCTCTGTGCTTTACAACATTTAGAAGCAGTTAATGGAGGATAGATGTTACGATAATGGCTCTATTCAGTTTATCCAACAGCTTGAAGTGGAAGCTTGTAAAGTTGCTTTTTGTGGCAAAAAGAGCTCTGGATGCATTCTGCTGGCTGCATCTTTCCAGTCTGTGCTTTAGAACTCAGGTTAACTCACACCTGAGCCAACAAAATAAAAGTCCTAAAGATCAGTTAAGCTCTCAAACTCTCTTCCAAAGCACGTTTCCCTTCTCCAGCTCAACGTGAGGACATGGCAATTCAATCCTGAAAAGAGCCTCAGCCTTCCAAGGAAAAACAAAAAAGGGGGGGGATTTTCCTTCATCTGGATATGCTGGAACATAAGAAATGGAACACCCTGGCAGTGCTCAAGGCCAGGTTGGACACAGGGGCTTGGAGCAACCTGCTCCAGTGGAAGGGGTCCCTGCCCCATGGCATGGGTTGGGACTGGATGAGCTTTAAGGTCCCTTCAACCCAAACCATTCCCTGGTTCTACGAATCAAAACAAGGAGTTCTCAAAGTGCTCAGGGTTTGTGGCTGGTCCCTCTCCGGACATCAGGCCTCTTGTGACTCACCCTGATAGCAGAGAGATGCCCCAAGCCTATTCTGGCTTTCATGAGAGCACAATGCAGAGCCTGGATGTGCTGCCTCCTGCCACCTTCCCATAAATAGGAGAGGGACACTCTGCCCCTAATGGGATGAGGGAGGTTTGGATTTTGCTCTCTGGAGTGGCTGTGACAAAGAGGGAACTGATGGCTTCTTCTCTATGGAGAGAGAACCGGCACCGGCAGCGCGCCCACAGCATTCCCACGCACCGGCCTGCGGTCCCCCAGTGGGAGCCGGAGCCGCAGCTGCACTGAATTGCTTCTCACAGGCTAGAAAAAGAGATGAAACGGCTCCAAGCTCCTTGGATTCACAATGGATTCTGAAGATGAGGCTTGTGTAATTCCCATCTGGATAGAAAAGGCTTTTGATAACGCTTGTGTGCGGGAGGCAGCTCTCTGCCTACATGCAAACCCCTCCGTTAGCCAGGGAAGACAAGCAGCTTCCCAATGAGGTTTGCACAGTCCCTTCCATCACACCCTTGCTCTCTATATGGCAACTGTAACGAGCACTGGACCAGTTAAACCATACTGATAGAGAGAGCTCTTATCATAAGGTTAACATGAGTATCCTGATTATATTATGATATATTATATCCTGATTGGATATAAGGAGGAAATTCTTTCCTGTTAGGGTGCTGAGGCACTGGAATGGGTTGTCCAGGGAGGCTGTGAATGCTCCATCCCTGGCAGTGTTTAAGACCAGGCTGAACGAAGCCTTGGGTGCCATGGTTTAGTGTGAGGTGTCCCTGCCCATGGCAGGGGGGTTGGACTGGATGATCTAAAGGTCCTTTTCAACCCTAACCATTCTGTGATTCTATGATTATACACAGCCACTCTTCCTTATGGAACTCTGCTCTCCATCAGCCTTTGTAACTAAGACTCCCCCCTGCCTCCATCTCAGTCATTAGGGGACTGAAGATGCCTCGACTGCAGTTGCTTTTAGTCAGGAAAGAAAAGGGTGCATGAAGAGACAGCGCTCAGCTCCAAATGCAGCTTTACAGTCAGCGTTAATCCAAGGGGAGTCTCTAACAATCTGCTTTGGCTCCACTCCTCAAGACACATTTTAGCTGTTCTTCCTGTTGCAATACACCAACGTATAATCTTCCAACAGGATGCTCGCTACTCTTTGACAAGTGGCACTCCAAATTCTTCAAGCTCTAAACGCTGGGCAACCCACAGAATAGAAAGCTGCAACCCAAACTCCTTGCTCTTGACAACATAATCTTCCTGCTTTCCTTCTTGGGATCAGTATCATGCAATGATATTGTCTACCAATATCATTAGACAAGACATGGAAAATGGATACTTCATGTGCTTCAAGAGAAGTAAATGGCAGTGGAACAACCTCCATCCTAACAAGCACAGACTGATTTTGGTTTGTGGCTACACGATGGTTTCCATTTCCTCCATGGGCTCTTAGCTTGATTGGATTAACTCTAGCTGCAGGCCCTCCAGCAGTACTCCCAGTTGGATTTTCACATTAAAAACCACATGGGATGGGGCTCTTGGAGCTGCTGTTCTGCTGGGATTGAGGGGTTTAATACCTTCAGTGCTGCCAGGACGGACTAAACATCATGCAGTCATTAAGGACTCTTAAGCTCAAAGATGCTGTGATGCCCCTGCAGCAACCATCTCTTGTTTAAACTACTTCAGCATATACACAGCTGCTGCCATTAAATTCTCCTAAATAACTCTCTTCCCTAAATGCCTGTGAACATCCCAGATGAGCTGAGCTGGACCTGGCTGCACATAGGACTCCTGGGCCAATCCAAACCCTTCACTGTGATCACCTGGAACATGCGTGTCACCATAGGATTGGGAACCTGGTGCTCAATCTCTGCTTTTTAAAACACCACATATTACAACAGGGTGAGTAATTGAGGAGAAAACTACTGTCTCCTTCAGCCAAAAACAGCTTTTTACCAGGAGCAGGATCATGCTCAGCAATCACAGAACCCAGACCTTGATACTCCCAGCACATACTTTGAGTAGCCCCAGTTAAATCAGCAAAGATGCATTTGATGTCCTCTGAAGGCATCAGAGTACATTGTCACAGAAGCTGTGCAATGTAAATCCCAAGATTTACCTACTACTCCTTATAGAATTCCACTTAAGAAAAAGCAGCCATTAACATATAACGAGCAGGAGAAAGGCAGCTCTCTTATTCAGTTGTTTTCCTGCAGAAAGAGGCCACGATTCCCTCCATCTCCCCTGGCGCTTCAGGTAAAAGGGAATGATTTGGCATAGATGTGTGGTCTTTGATCGCTGCTCTGAGACTGAATCTAATGGACCACAAACTACCAACCTCTCCCTTGTCGATAAATAATGTATGAATATATATTCATACACACAGATCTAATGCATTGGGACAGCAAGTCAGACCCAGCAGAGAAATACCCTCCTCTTCTCCCAGACAGGTTAAATCATCACTCCTTTATGCATCCATTCCGGCTGCTAAAAGCAGCTCTGGTTTGTGGCTTACCTGTTCTTTCCAACACAAGCTCTGCAGCAGGAGGAGTCGATCTTCCTGTTTTAAATAAGCTGCTGTGAAACCTCAACAAGCCCAAAGCCCTCTCTCCCCCACAAAGGTAGGCAGCACCGCTACCGCAGGCTTAAGAGGCAGGCGGGGTTCAAGGTAAAAAGGA